ATGAAGCGAGGAAGTTCACTCTGTTCAGTACGGTATGTTGCTTTGATCAATCATCTGTTTGCGCCATGTGCGTGTTTATCCTGATTTAGGAGGACCCAAAGGGTCATCGGGACACCCAGATGTCGCGGCCGATCTGATGCATAAAGCCGGGACTCCAGCCTGCCTGCCGGAGCCTGCCGGACGTCTGTCCTGTGCCATGCCACAGTGCAATGCATCAAGTAACGAAATGAGATACGTGAGATGTATCTGCATTGTCTAGATAGTCTGGCGGATTGTATTCAGCATTTCTTCACGACGTTCTCTTTCCCCAGCTAAATTACTCAGTGTGTTCGGCGGCGTTCCCAAATTAAACAGACGAAGCACACATATCCTAGGCATATAATCGTCGTCTGATTGGATTCAATTAATACTAAACCCAAAGCTATGCATGCAAAAGTTCTTGGAAAGCAATTGTCTCAAACGATAATTCCACGTCTTAACGTGCAATGCTACTTCATTAGCAAGGAGGTCCCAGTGATGATGTTCAAGTTAGTCATCAAGAGAATCAGAAGTAAAAGACAGCAGCAGAAACATCGTTATTTCGAACTCAGTACGACCCGAAGGCTTCGTAGTGCATAAACGACAAAAAAGGTCTGCGAGACTTCTAACTTGGATCAAAAAAAGCAAAGCAAAGGCACCCGTATCTCTCTAAGCAGCATCTTCTTCCCGGATAAGGATGTTTCTGGTAGCCCGACTGGTGACGTTGGCGGCAGCTTTGAAGCTCTGAATCATGGCGACGTAGAGAGAATCTTTGCTGACCTTGCCCTTGGGAACGGGAAGAGCCAGAACCGCCTCAGCCATTTTGCCCCAGGCCTCGACAAGCTGGATGTCATCATCGTCATTATCGTTCTTTTCTTGTTCAGCATCGGAAGTGAAGATGTCCGCGGCGACCTGCTTGCCCTTGCCCTTGCGCTTCCCCAAGTCACGGCTGCTGTTGGCGCCAGCCTCATCATTATCGGCAAAGGAGGCCCCAAAACCTTGGTCATAATCCTCGTCCAGGCCACGGGGATCTTCGGGCTGCTCTTGCTCCTGCTCTTCCTCTTCCTCTTCCCCTTCCTCTTCTTCCTCGTCATCATCGATCGAGACTGCGAGGCGGGCGCGCTTGGAGACCGGTGGCTTGTACGTGAGGTCCTCCAAGGGACGTTTGCGGCGCATGACGGGGCTGAACACGGTACGGGGCGGAGCAGCGAGAGAAGGCGAAGACTCTCTGGCCAACCCCGAAAGTGCATCTCTGGCAGGGCCGAGAGACGGGGGCGGCATAGGCGTGCCGTGTCCGGAGACGGGCGCAAGCGGGAGGCCCTGAGCTGCGGGTACTGGGGTGGCGGGGCGGGAGCTTAGAGCGGGTGTCGATCGTCGACTGGCGCGGCCGGGCTCTTCACCAGGGCGTAGAACTGTGACTTTGGTTAGTTTACGGGGAATAGACTTTTACTCATGATTTGACTTGTTATTCGTGCCATAGTTATATTTTGAGGTCGAGAAGGACTAAAGTGAATATGTTTGGGCCTGGGATTATATCGAGTAATAGGATATTGGAATGTAGTCAATAATTAATATATGGATATTGTTAATAAGTTAAGCGGCGATGGAATACCTTTGAAAGCTGCATCTACGTCTTCGGGAGTCCACACAGTCTCGGCATCATCGGAGTCGGCATGCCTCGAAGCAGCGGCGGCGTTGATGGCGGCGCGAATCTCGGAGTCGGTCTTGCGCTTGGGCCTGTCCTTGCAGTTGGCCAGGGAATTGATGAGCTTAAGGGAAGTCCACGACTTGGCGATGGCAGGGCCGAAGACGAGGAAAACCTTCTCGAGGGGCTCGTAGCGCAGGTTGGACTTGACGGCATCGAAGCGCTTGCGGCATTCCTCGGAGGCCTCCATTCGGTACCAGGCTCTCTCGGCTCTAAAGACCACGCGGGAGACATTGGTGATCTCGTCGTCGGACAGCTGGGAGCACAAGAAGGTGGCAAAGTCCCACTGGGCGTGCTGGCGCTTGTATGCATGGGACCACCACAATGTCTTTAGCTTAGACCAGGTAGCCGGGACATCGGATAGATCTATGTCCGGATTAGCGTACACACTGGCGATCTGTCTGAGTCTAGAAAGCTCCGCGGCGACTTCGGCCTCGGTCTCGATCCTTTCGCGTGGCATGGCTGGCGGTGGTGGTGGTAACTGGACTCGCTGGATCTATCAAAACACAAAGCTCAACCGCTGGACGGACAAAAGCAGGACACGACACGCCAATTGAGGCAAGGCAGGGCAAGAAAAGGCCTGGTGAGGTGAGGTGAGGTGATGTGAGGCGAGGTGGTGATGAAGGCAGGGTGCTGCACCTACGACGACACCCAGGAAGACACCTCGGCACCCAGGTGTCACTCAGGGTGGCCACCTCATCCTGGGTGCTGCTGACAAAGTGCCATGTCATGCCTTCCTGTTGTTGGTTCTGAAGGAGCGAGCGGTTCTTTCCTCGTGATGCTGGTCATGAGATTGCGGCTTCCGAAGTTTCGTTAAATCTGCTGGATGGAGGCATGCGCAACTGGGGCACCTCCCTCGATATAAAACCCCACTCCCCACAACACCTTCTCTGTGGCTTTCCTTCTTCTCTTCAAACACCCGACTTCGTCCAAACCCCAAATCCAACCTGCAATCCTCAGTTCAACGTCAAACAACAAGTACCTCCTCTTCGTCTCCTGGTTTACTCCTCTCGGGACAACAGCAGCGACCATGCAGACCCCGGAGAAAACACCGGATCCGGCTTCCCAACCGACCTCAATGTCGACGGTAGCGTCCCTCAGCGAGACGGCCAGGCGACAGCAGATCCTCCACAAATGCCGCCAGATCGTGGCCCTTGGTGCTCCAACGAACGCGACGCCGACTACGTCAAGCAGCAACGGTGCTACTGCTCGGCAAGCCCCGTCTTCAATCGTCGACTTCTACACCGTCGATGCTGCCTACAGAGCCGCCAAAGTCGCCGTCGATTTCCACGACGAAAGGACAATGTGACCGCTGTCCATCCGACACCAGATTTTGTATGTCGATCTAGGCAAATTCGTCGATAAGCATACCACCAAGCGAGAGGCACAATATTGAACGAGACTTTTCTTGGGGACCTGGTGACAAAAGGAAAGGCCTTGCAGTCGCTGCCTCGACCTTGGGTACGAAAGAGTCGGCGGGTGGACACATTGAGGAATACTTGGCATCAGCAACATCGGCGGCATCGCCTGCGCAGAAGCAGATATTTGGACTTTCTGCTGGTTGCTCAATCTGGCAGATACTCCTTTATCCCAAACGGCCACTGCGTCTGCGACATCCGGAGTGCTCGTCAGTGCGAGGCCAATAAAGTCTTTGCGTTTTCTTTGGGAATACAACTCTGTACACTACCAGGCTATGATGCATACGGCCGGAGTACCTTGGGCCGCCTCCGATGGCTTCGTCGGTGCTAGTATCCCGCCTCACCGCTCGTCTACATCTTCCATTCGTCCCTCCGTGATGAGACCGATGCTCCTCCTTTCGCCTCTTCCGGCTATCTTCCGGCCCGATGTTCGCAAGTCCACACATGTCCGCTCGAAAGCAGCCATGCGCATCCCTCTGACATTCTGTACAATCTGGCCAGCTACAATTCCATCATCTGTCGTAGCATCATCAGCTCCTGCCAACATTTATCTAGGAAGCCTTCAAGATCTTCCGGTCTACCCTCAAACACCTGCCTACGAGTCCTGCTTTCTGATCGGCACAGTAGCCAACAAAGCCACCGTGCCGCTTGCTGCCATTTGGATTGGTCCAGCAGGGTTGAATCATCAGTCACTTATCCCCGAGAGTCCTCCAACCGGTTCTCCACCATCTCCAGCTTTCGCTATGCCTCTCCAACTTACGCTCTGAGCCAGCCATCGAATCCGCCCGCCGCCTCGATCGTTTCTGCTAAGTCTCGGTTTTTTTTGTCAGTCTTCATTGTTTCCGAAGTTGTTATCGGCCACTTCGTGTGAATCTGTCCGTACTTGCGCCCGGGCGGGGAGGCAGCGCCCGCTCTGCTGGGAACGAATGAATTGACCCCTGTGTTTGTCAGTTGCAACAAGCCAGTGGGGAGGATCTTGCGTATGTGTTTGCTGCTCGCGAACAGGGGGGCATGCAGCAGGGTGTGTGAGAGTCTGACGAACCTCGAAGGGTGGCTGGTTTGTTCCAAAAGCTGCCACAGCAGTGGCAGTTTTCCAAAAGAGGAAGAAAGGCCCGTGCTGATTGGCCACTGGAGTGAAATGTGGGGTTCGGGTCTGGGATCTAACCCGCTGATGTAAGCATCTGGTACTGAAATTTCCAACCCAGAACCCCACATTTCAATACAGTGGCCAATCACAAAGGTACATCCACACAGCACTGTGAACTGTGAACTGGGCGTGTTGGATGTTGGCTGTCGATCTGATGGTGGGTGGCTGCGACGGGGACAACGCAAGGTAAGGTACCTTGCCGGGCATTCATCAGCTCAGCCGGGGTGACCTGCTTGCAAGTTTGTATCAAAAAATGTTCCCTCTTGGCCGCAGCAGTGTGGACAGCTGCGGATGTGCCAACCACACCTTGCATCTCATCCATGTCTGGTTGAAGGGTTGTTGTCCTTCTCAATCCCGCAAAGCAGCCAACCCGATGTCTTTCACTGACTCTTTTAGGTCTTCAATTTCGCTTCCTCTATAATAGCCCTCTGTCAACACGCGTTGCCGGAGGGCGACCTTGGCCAGCAACCAGTTCCTAGCCAGCATCATGTTTGCTTGCTCCCCCCAACACCGAAAAGCCCCTTTTCGCTATTGCTTTCCCCCCTGGGTAGGAGCCCGCAGGCTGAGGCCAGATGCTCCTCCATCATGTGAGGAACTGATAGATCTCTCCGCCGGGTTTCTTTATTTAAACCGACATATCTACCGCTGCCGTTCTTGTCCATCCTGACTGCAACAATCGCACTCCAAAATACTCCTCGGCCGACCAAACGCGATGAAAAACCACAAAGACGTCTATGCAATCGACTGCCCCGTCTGCGCGATCAAAGCACGCATGGTCAACCCAGACCGCAATCCCACATGCGGCCACATAGACTACCCTGCCGACCGCCTCATCGACCTCATACTGAAGTATACTCCCCGGGGTCCGCACCCAGTCTGGAACAGGTCAGAGGAAGTTGCTATTTGCAGCGTCATCTCAGCATGGTGCGGCAGATCCGAAAGGCGTCGGTTTATGAGCTTGCGGCTCTGCGTTGCATGCTACGAAAAGCACGTTGGCCCTTCCTTCTCCGACGGATGGCTGCTCAATTCGGCTTTGCCTGATGCGGATGCCCTTGGATTCTGGGATAAGCGGCCAGGGGGCGTCAACTGATGAAGTGCATCTGCATTTGCGTCATGCATCCTCCCGGTGGTGTCAGTTCAATCAAGTCGGCGAACCAGTCGGCCCCTGTTCAGGGGCGCCTCATTGATATCCGAAAGCGCCCCCAGATCCCTTTCTCAAGGTCAACATCACACTCTGCTCTACTGGTCATGTAGTTCACGAAGACGCCATCCAATGCCTTCGCCGAACAGCTCCTACTGCCGAGCCCACCTATCGGGTAGCGTGGCCTCGTCCACTGAGACTGCGCATATCATCGAGCAATCGCAACATGTTCCAACCCATAGTCACGTCAGAAAGTGTCGAGCAGCTGCAAAACATGTCTTCGTTGAATACTTCTTTTTGGAAAGGTTCTATCATAAACAAGCTGATAATGTATTTCGAATGGGCCCAGCCCGTATGGCCCTCAGTGTGGGGGATTGTACCCGAGAAAAGACGTCTAAGTACTGAAGGGAAGCTTAGTTAAATCGATCTGAACATAGACGCTCGCCGTCTGTTGCTCTCCTGTCTTATCGCATGCGGGTAAAACCACCACTCTGCCCTTCAGCACCTGCACGGCTTAGCTCCGATCTTGACCCGTTCCTGAGCACACTGTCTGATGTCCCTCAAGGCTGTTCTGCACCTCCTTCGAAAGGAATCATTCCTGCCGTCCGAAGAACCACTTGGTCTTCAGGGCTTGCACCGCTGAGCCGTCCTACGACGTTGTCCTTGCTATCATAGCTCGTCCTTCATGACCGTGCTACTGCTCGTACTCAAATCAGGCCCTCGTCAACTTCAAAATATAACGCTGCTCAAACCTGGACTTTAAACGTGAGTCTTGATCAAGCTCAAGGCGCCCTGTTTCGTGAATTGTTTAAGTGCCTATATGCTTGTTGAATCATCGTCACAAGTATCCTATAGAGCATGGAAATCGGTAAACCAAAAGAGTTCTGAGTGGCTCCGTAGCTGCGGCTGAGCCGCCAGCGTTTGGGTTTGATCACTTTCAGCAGAGGTGATAGTAGACGGCTTGACCGTCTCTAACAGCAGCCTTTTTAAAGTGGGGGTTGCTACCACGTAGCCGATGCACCAGAACACCGGCCTCCAGCCTCCCCTGGTGTGGTTCTGACGCGGGTTTCTGCGGAGATCTTGGATCCGGGGAACTGTATCCGATTGCTGAGGTATCTGCAGATGGCATCATCAAGGCATCTGGCATTCTTTAACAGTCAGACATGTCGGTGCTTACAACCGGATACAATCTCTTCACCAAAATAGCATCCATACACGTCCATCCAGGTTAACTAAAGAGGTTTCTCTATGATGCCTAGTCCACCGTGGCCCTCATAAAATCGCCACCCGGGCAACACAGCAGTAAACAAGGTGGGCTTGTAGGCAGCACCCTGATACACAAAAGCATAATTAAAAGTTTAGATAAAAGGACGAAGGAAAACAACAGTTTGATGAGGACAGCCAGCAGCCATCTCATTATCTTCTCACTATTGCATTGCTTCAACTTTTGTCCATGCTGGAAAAGACGAATATACTGAACTGGCTCTCCCAGATACCGAATCCCTCTCCTGCCTTCCCTGAGCCAGGGCAGTGTATTCTCAACGAGAGGGAGAATCGAAAGCGCAAGAGAAGATTAGACTCTCATTCGCCGCAACGCATTCCATCACCGCCGTTCAGCCCGCCGGAAAGGTTCATCAACGGCATGATGGACAATCAAGAATCTAGTATTGACCCGGTCATGCCTTACACACACAACGACCCACAGGCTTCGGTAGATGGGGATGAAGCTGAACAAGGACTTGAGCCTGAGTCAAACAATGAAGCAGGTCTCCATCATGCAGCCCTCCGGGTTGTTGATGCGGAAATTGGCAGTGTTGTATCTACTAGCCACGTCACCGAGCACACGACACCGACTTCCAAAAAGCGAAAGCGGCAATCTGGGTCACGCGTCAACGCGAACATTATGGCGATCGAGAACACTTTACAATACCAAAGCTTCGACGGCGAGCATGCACCACCCCCATCGTTGAACAGGCTCCGCAAACATATTCAGGTTCTAGGCCGAGGTATTGGAATTGTATCGCATGCTGAGAAGCTATCCTTAACAAACGAGGCTTTGACCAACAACCAATTTTCTTGGGTTGATGAAGCAACCTTCGCTCCCAAGCCTGACACCACACCGACAACACCATCACTTCTCCCACAACGCGATGCCTTGGGGCCAACACCATCTATTGACGATGTGCGGGAGATCTGGGCTGCTGCATTTGATGCGGAATTGGTCGGTCATGAGGAGTCTCATTGGAACCTGACGGTCCATGGACCGATCCTCCTAAGCGCCCTGAAGCATTTGAGGAATCTTGGTGTGTCGTGCTGGTAGGCCAGCCCCTATTCATAACCTTCCAGTGCCATAAGAAACGCTAACAAGAAAACAGCACTTCGGCAGGAATTCATAGTGCTTACACGAGAAAGGACAATTCCGCCCAATACAATCGAAAGATAGACATATGTGTGCATATAATTGAGACATCGCCACAGCTAGACAGAGTCATTCTAGCGTCGAAAACCGGGTCAATAAACCATACTAGTTATGCTGGTCTGCTTCTTAGGCCAATTGGATTCTCTATTGAGACAAAAATCACAGGCCATGACTGGTCGAACGCGGTTTACCAGATCGCATCATGGGTCATAGCCCAGTGGGACGTCCTGGATGACCTTGTGGAGCTATCGGTTGGCCAGCGCAAACCTCCAGGTAGCTCTCCAGCAGCGGCATCCGGACTGGAGTTTTTACCAGGTGTTATTATACAAGGGCATGAATGGTGGTTTGTCGCAGTGAGCAGGACATCGAGTAATAAGAATGTGTTTTGGACGAAAGTTTACATTGGATCAACCACGTCAACTCAAGGCGTCTATGGAATCACGGCCGTCATACAACTTTTAGGCCACTGGATTGAAACTGAGTACTGGCCTTGGTTTGAATCCACCATTCTCAAGCAAGCTTAGTTGGTCGAATTACATTCATAGGAGTAAGCATCAAAGAGGAGTGAGAATACAAATTATACGATTGCGTGGCCGAGACATGACCGGAGTCTACAGTGATGCAAATGTCTCAGATGAACTCCATTCCAGGCAGAATACATGCGTGTGATTTGAAACTTTATGTGCCAACCACTCGCCTTGAGCAGTCTGTTATCCATGAAGAAATTAGAAGATGAGACTGGGACGTTGCAGGGCGTTGGGGGGCGAATTTAGTCATGAAGTCGAGGATGAAAATAGCGGCCGTCAGTGAAGGTTTTCGAGGCCTCTCTCCAGTCAATCATTGATGAGAATCCCATTACCAAGTCTATGAGCAGTAGTGTGATGCAAATTGAGCAACTAGCATACGTTGGGAATGTCGTTGTTCCGCATGACGCCTCCCGCAATTGAAGTCGAAGCTTTTGAACCCAAAGCTGCGCTTCGGATTTTAGCATCATTGAAGAGCTAGCGTTCTTCCACATGCTAGCTACATTGAATGACCATGTCGGATGAATTGTTGCACAACCTTATCCCCCGCTGGCCTGTCGATGAGAATGGCTCCGCAAACCGGCATCTGCGTCCAAATCGGCATAAATGGTACACTCAATGCTACCCCAGAGCTGCCATTGCTGGTCATTAAGAACTCACTATGCCTGGAAAGTAGAGTGGTTTGCACGAATGGGTTCCTGGTGTGAATGGGTTTGGAGAAGCTAATTGGTGGAAATGGGCGGCTGATTGGAGGACGAATGTAACTCCAGGGCAACTCCCTCCGCAGTAGCCTGTGACTCCGCTTTGATAGCTTACTGCAGCACTTGAAGCCGAGTCCAGGTTGGTGGAGAAGCTTGTAGTTAGTTGATTGAGCTTGTCCTCGGAGAGATCGTGGCCTCTCTCGTGGAAATTGGGTGAAGGTTGCCAGGCGTGCAAAACAGGAGTGTAGCATCATGAAAAAAACACTATGAGTGAAAATCAAGCCGACACGGAACTTTTCAAAGATACAAGATTGTGGATGATACACTAGAACAGCTAGCTTCCCTCCTCTCACTTCCAAGCCACCACTTTGCAGGTGGAGTTGCACCTGGATCCTCCGTCTTTTCCCATTCCACTAAATCCGAGTTGGAGCGATGTTGAAAGCCTTCCACCAGGTTTGCGGCACCCTTCGTCGATTGAACCCGTGAGACACTGGTTCTGTTTGTTTCAACCAGAATCAAACAGGCGAAGATCCGTCAATATGAGAGCTACATATCCATCCAGCAGGAGCAGCTTGTCTGCCTGCCCACTACTGTAAGGTTGGACACACGTCTTGTAGGACAGAGAACTGATGCGATGTGACGCTTAGTCACTGTTGTTCTGGTGGTAAAATGGTATACTACAGTTGCTACGAATACGTAGGAGATGGGTATCGTTGCCCAACTACGATTCTCTGTGATCTGTCACTGCATTGGTTCGACTCCAACACGGGCGTATGCTGAGTATCAGTGGGTGCCTCGTGTCGTGAGTAGTTCGTGTCACCACGCCGATACTTGCTGCGAACAAGAACTCTGCAGTTCTGACGGATATTGACGCGGCGACATATATTTGAGGCAAGCTCTAGCAAAATTATTGGGACCCCAGTACTCAACCACCATTATCTGGTCTAATCACATCGTCACTATCACTGACGCGCAGAACCCGAAGACGAGGAGGAAGCACCCAAATTCAACTGTATCCTGATATCTCTGATAGACGCTGAGGGACAAACGTTGGAGGTTGACAACGAGACCATCACACGCGCTAATGACGACATTTTATCAAATACAGGACAGGCCAGAGGAAGGCGGGCTCTTCCCCCCTCTTCTCCCTGAATCCATTGCAGATCCGAACAAGGACGTACCTTGTGAAAGTGACCTTCATGCTCACAATTCCTGCCTACCGGCTCATGATCACCGACAAGACGATGACCGAGTCTGTGCCTTCCAATGAAATCTCGTGTATCCCCATGTTGATGACGAACGCGAACGGATTTGGTCTCAGCCTCTCTCGCCTGGGTTGTCAACTCTGACAATCATCAGTGAACACCAACAAGACTTCTTACTCTTGTTTAGGGACGACCTATGAAGAAAGGTGGTGTGTTAGGCGACAAGGCCGAATGGAACCCTTCAGACAACATTCAGCGCGAACGATGTAGTTTGATAGTGGTGCTAATGCCGTCCCATTGTTAGGGGCTGGGATGCTGGTGCTGCAACAGTGTTGCGGCCTCGGAGTTTGCGAACGTCCTACGTTCTTTTGTTGAATGTCTAGCCGACAGGATCTCAAGGTGTAGACGCCAGTACCAATTGGGTAGGGGCAAAAAATATCTATGTCATTAGGCTGCCTATGGCGCTCTTGTTCCAAGAGTCTGGCTGTTGTATGGCGCGCTAAAGTGGCTTGCAGCCGAATGAAACACCAAGCAAAGTATCCAATGCCCACCGGGACCAGATTGCCAGATAACTGCAAAGTTAAGCTGGTTTACTACGCAGGCTGCGCCATCCCGTTTTCCGTCTTTTCACAAGCGGTTCGACTCACAAGTGAATGGATGATAATTTCGAGATTTCTGTTTGATTCAAGGCTGAGTTGATCAAACTTTGCGGCGATTAGTCCGTCGGTACAATGAAAGCTAGTCCATGTCCGCACCCTTTGAGGTCTGGTACTACGGATCAGCTTGGGTAAGATCAATTGATTTCTTTCCTTAAATGTATAAAGTTTTGAATGCGTAAGTATAGAAGTATGATGCAGTTTCAGAAGTTGAATGGCACTGGGCGTCTCCAGGTGGACATTCCTTTGCTTGTATCTGGCATTGTGAAGGTCGATAGCGTGGAGAGACTCAAAAATACATTAATGCGTATGAAGGTCTTGGTATCTCGATGTGGCTTGTAACTGCACCCGAGATCCCTTGCGGTGGTGCCCTGGTTTTGGAATATAGAACTCGACAGATCTCCATCGTGTTAGCTGGCTGATGTCTCTCGATACCACTCATCTTCTACGCGGATCCGCAAAGTCAGGTTGGCAAGATCAACTTGATCAAGAACATATCAATAGCAGGCGACTTTCTGGTTTTGGCGGATCAAGGTGTGTCACCTCTCACCTTTTACGGTGTAGTATCTGCTTATGCGCTCTAGGCTCATCGGTAAAGTGGTGAGGCTAGATGGCACGGCGAGGAGAGTAGGGTAGAGTAATGGATTACCGAGAGATTGGCAGTGAAAAGCTTTTCCAAACGTCCATGGAGTTTTCAAGCGAGAGACCTTGTGTTGCTCTCAGTGTCGAGTTTTCCCACCCGATCTTTGGCGGTGGAAGACACCAGTCTCATCTTTCATGTGACTGTGCATCCTGCTCCTGGTTATACTGGAGTACACCTTCACCAATAACACATTCTCTGATTGTGGCTTCCAGTATGCCTGATGCACTTTTCATTGATTCAAACTTCAACTTCTGAACGTATCGACATGCTCTTGCGATCATCAATGAGTCACCCGCTTCTCGTCTGGCTCGTCAGCATACGGCTCCTTCAAACACAATTCTTGACTTGAAGGTGAGCCCTGTCTGACCTGGCAAGTAGTTGATGCTGAAGAGGTACAGGCTGAGGGAAAGGAGCGGTCCGTACGAATAATTGGGGCCGTGAAACCACCCACTGGTTATGATTCCCTTATGGTCTCAATACGGATGCTTGGAGAGTACATGAGAAGTAGTATTGTGATAATAAATGTGGCGGAAATCAAGTAATACCTTAGAGAGTGGAATGAGTGGGATGGGCTGGCCAGAGGTCTCGTCATGCCCGATGGATCTGGGCAAGAATGGCACACTATGAAGCGCGGTAGACGGTTCCCTATAGCAATGGGGAAAGGTGCCACCGAGTGTGCAGGAAGCTTAGCAGAATATGGCGTGACTAAAGATGAGTGAATACAGTTCATGAGCGTGATTTCTTCCACTACGCAAGCGCATCTTCGCTATGAAAGGATGCAGAACGCAGACGTGCCAGGCGAGGACTTTGATCGGCTTCAAATCGAACACCTGTTGGCTGAGGACGTATGAGTCTGCTCGGTAATCAGTGACCGGTGCAGACAAGCACTCAGCGGGTCTGATCTTGACGTGAAGAAGGCCTCAATGATGATTAGTTGGCGAGTAAGTTCCAAGGCATCGGCGTCAAGGAATCCAAGTTTCTTCGTGTTATAGGGTATGATTGGTGCTGGTGTTTGTCCACTTATCCACGTATCTGCTGCTGAATGGCCGTTATGGACGGACCGACTCACGGTGTGCTAGTCAACTACACCGTTTCTTTTGCGAAGGAGTAGGCCCTTCGCATAACCTCTTATCTGGGCGCCACCCATTTTAAATTTACTAATTATCCATGTT